CAATATTAATGTTGACATCTGACAGAGACAAACGAAGCTCAGTATGTCGCATCCACCTTCTGCCCACCCTCCAATGTACCCAGCCTTCCCCCACGTGACTCTCCTACTTTCCCTTCCTCCCCTGCTCCCTTCCAGATGCATTACATCCCCTCTCCCATATGTCCCTTCCCCCTCCCCTCTCCCATATGTCCCTCCCACCCTCCCCTCTCCCATATGTCCCTCCCACCCTCCCCTCTCCCATATGTTCCTCCCACTCTCCCCTCTCTCTCCTCCCACGCTCCTAAGTGCCCCCTACCGTCCCCTTCCCCATTCTAAACTTCCCTGTCCCTCCCCCCTCCCCTGCACCCTTCGAGATGCCCCGGATGTACTCTGTCGTGATATCGATCTGCCGAGTATTCCCTGAGATGTCGTAAAATTCCCGGACACCCACCTAACAGCACTGGTAGGCGATCCTTATCTTGGCGATGTCGTTCCCAGCGCATGCGTTGTTGGTGTTACACATGTATCTTTGGCCATCGCATAAGGTCTGAAATAATAAAATTCAGTTCAACGACTTAAAGTCTGCCTACTGTATTTCAGTTACTTCAAACCGATATTTCACTCCATTTAATTATCGTTTTGGCTACAAGGTGATTTATTGTATTAGGATAAAAGTCCTCAACCGAAAAGTCTGTGAAACTGTAAAATATTTTAAGGGAGAAGAGTTTCATTAGCTCTGTATGTATCAATTTAAATTATTGTTTTTTCTTTTTATCAAGAGCTTATAAAATGTGCAGGTATTACCACCAATATTTCTGTGACTGTCAGTCACGGATTTTCATTCCAGGTGAAATGACCCCAGTCATTTACTCCCTGATGATGGTGACTGACAGTCACAGAAATATTGGAGGTAATACCTACATATTTTATAAGCTCTTGATAAAAAGAAAAACAATAATTTAAATTGTAAAATATTTTATACCAAGGTTTAGTTTATCTTTATCAGTGCGTTTTATCTTCATTTATTTATTTTTCATATCCTTTAAACTACGTGGCGAACTGACCGATAACATCTGTGCTTTGTACGGTGCTGCAATACACTGGTTGTCTGACAAGTCACGGCACTCCTGCACCGCGATGATCTTCATGGGACCCTCGTTATTGCAGTTCAACAATGGTCCCTGGTTACTGAAACAGTTATGGCTCACCGCTTTGGCTGAAAGTATAGGTTTTGAAATCTGTATTGACCAATGGTAAATGATTTGTAAACAAGGTTGCTTTCTCCATATAAGGTGAGGCACGCCGACGGTAATTAAAATTTTTACCGCTTTCAATTATAAAATTTCTATATTTTTCCCTTTGTAATAATTTCTGAAACAACTGGGTCGGCCTACATCAATCTAGTAACAAAAATAACATTAGATATCATTATCTGTAATAAATATACTCCAAACAAAAATAGCTTTAATTCATATTTTTACATAATTCTCTGCCTCTGTCCTTATTTCAACGGACAACACACTGATTTTTTTAATACTAAGCTTTAATGACCTTCAAGATAATCTAAGTAAGATTTATTTTACAGCCAAAACCTGCTGCCGATTTTTAAAATCAAGGAGAATTTTTATCTGTAAACAATGGTTTAAAACACATATCTCTTGAATATCTTTAAAAATATATTATAGATCTTAATAGAACTGCCTTGTTTTGTTTCTGGTATTATGTATATACTTTATATGTGTAGGAGTGAGAAATGTATTGAATCGAGTGAATACTTACGTGTACAGCACGGCTGTCCACAGGACTCGGTCTGCATACTGCTTCCAACGCACATCTGTCCGTTGCCCTGTGGGGGTGGACTGTTACACAGCCTGGTACGAGAACGAACGCCGCCAGAACACGACTGCGAGCACTGAGACCACGCTGACCACATCCCCCAGTTACCGTTTACGTCGACTGGAAAACAGACGGAAAGAGGAGGTGAAATTCGATTTCAGAGTTGAGGGGAACAGTTAATACAACTTATTCTAATTAACAGACGCTTTCTTTAACCTTGGAAACATTTCGTGGATATATTTCACAACATAATAAGGTTTATTGTACTTCTTGGAAATATATGAAAACATAAATTAAGTGTATATATAAAAATGTAAGGTGCAGTGTTAAAATGGGATTAAATAAAAAGTGTACTTTTAAGAATAAATATTGAACAGAAAAAACTATGAATAAAACACATCATTTCTTTAAAAGCTAAAAGTTCTTGAACACATTGATACGTGTATAAGCAATAGGGAATTGCTTATTCTTTAACCAAAGAGGTCTCGTGAAGACGTTTGGCTGCCACATCGGCATTAAACATATTCTTGAAAGTCTCTTCGTCCAGACTGCTCAGAAAATTATGATCCGTACACCGATATTAAATGTCGATCTTCACAATCATTACACTACAATAATCAGCCGATCAACATTTCCAAGGAGTTTTCTAATTTTTCGGTACCCAGAGATTTCAAACAGGTTTAAGGATTGTAACTGGGCAAACGTGTCTGGGCAGGTATGATAAACCTTTCTGATTTAGATTTAAGTGGTGAAATTGGCAATTGAAATTTTTCATTTTTGTTCTATTACTATGGAAAAGCCTTACGCTGATTGCGTCATTAATGAATATCACACCAAGCGTGACTAAGTAGACGGAGCACAGACTTACTGACACAGGGGCCGCTGTTACAAGCCTGAAGTTCAAGGCCGGGACCTTGACATTGGAAGCCACCTCCTCGTGGTGCAGGATTGGAGCACGAGCGGATACGACCTCTGAAGCCGCCATTACAGGATGCTGTGCACTGCGTCCACATTCCCCACATCTGCCATCCGCCGTTCACTGCAATGTTAAAAAAAATATTGTGTAAAAAAAGTGCATAATAAGAGAAAAATTCTCTGTCCTGCTGAATTTTACGTCCCTTGAAAACATGTAACTTTCACATAATTTTATTTAAGTCAGTGAACGTTATTTACTCTAAACATGCCAGTATAATAGTGTCAGTGTTGTTAGCCAGAAGCGTTAGTGGTTTAATGAACCGAAGACAGATCTGCAGTCATAAATTCATTAGTATCTAATAGTCATATAAACATATAAAACAAAAACTAAAATATAAAACGTCAGTACCAACTAATCAAATAATGTCAAGATGAAACTAGGTCGACATCATTCAAGGTGAAGGTCGTCTCTTACCGGGGCATTCCTGGGGGTTACACGTCCTGGTCTGCACGGTCACCGGGTTACAGACGCCGCAGCACTCTCTGTACCGAGACTGGACGCCGCCGCCACAGGGACGGTCACAGGGAGAGAAGGGACTCCAGGGTCCGCACTGTGGGGGTGGGGCTGGAAATGGGGGAAGAGGGTGGTTAGTGTTGATGAAAATAGAACTATACGGCATGCCTAACATATATTTATGTAGTATATACACGGTACCTGTTTATTGAACTGTGCATGGTTCTTCAATTATCACATTTGTAATCTGTTTACAATACAAATTGCAGTAATATTTTAATATCTGTGCAGTGGGATTCTCTCTTCAATGTATTTATTCAATTTGAAGAGTTTCTTTTCCTGAATGAAAAAATGACGCATTGGAAATGTGAATGGAATAATTTTTAAGAAACGAGGAGGCATTAGTGCGGTCAAAACAAGTTTCTGCTGGCTTGCTAAAATCATGTCAATTGAAATCCGTACATTGCTTGCCTTTATATTAACGTAACCTCTGCATCAAAGAAGAGGTTTGGACAAAGAAAAGAAGTACCTTCGAGTCATGCATGTACAAGTATGTCTGATACATGTATAAATATGAAAGATAAGAAAGATAAATAGCCAAGTACTTACTAGGAGCGGGTGTCGTGCTCATTGGAATGTCTGGAAGTAAAAAATAACATCACAATATAGATATTAATATTCTCTGATGATTGTAAATAAAAAGTTGAACATGTGGCTGTAGTTCAATAATTCCTAATATTTAATAGATTGTGCTCTAGATAAAGAATAAAGGGGTAAGTACGCATATACAGAATATATATTTGAAAAAAAAACATACGGGTAGTGAACTGTATATTTTACTGATTTTCAGTGGTTCTTACTAGATTTTACATGGTAGATATTCATATTCGGCAAAACTTCCCTTTTCAATATTTTTTGTATAATTCAGAGGTTAAAAACATGCTGTATAAGGTCCACAGGTCTGTCACTATTGAGTTTAAAGACACATTTTCCTAGAATCAAAAGGAATGCTTGACAGGTGCCTAAAATGGTGCAAAATCTATCCACACACATGTATCTGAACGGGTCTAAATAAATGTTCAATAAGATCAGTTAACAACATGACTTACCAATGCAAGCCTTCTGTACAATCTTGGTGACAATAGAGTTGAGGGCGTTCAGGTCGCTGACCTTGAGGACATTGGAGGGCTGACCAAGAGCAATGGCCAACAACTCCTGGTCGTCCGTGCTGCCCGCGCCAACAGCGATGAAACTGAGGCCAGAGTTCATCAACTCCTGGGAGACCTGGCTAACTGGGTCACCTGGAAATGGTCAAACACAGCTGACGTTACATGTCTAATCATTCTTTAAATTAAACAAAAATCAGGACACAGCTGGTCGTCTGGACTACTAATGGTTTTATATTGATTAAAACATCGTTCCATTACATTATATCATTACATTATATTACATTATATCAGAGGCAAATACGTCAAACTGGTACTGTTAATCACATGGATCGTGGTTTGTTATTTAAGATAAACTTCACTCTGTAAAGATTGGCTGCTGTATACAAATAATAAGCACATTATAAGCTCAGACACTAGTAGGTGGGTTCACTGGAACAAAGGTACCGCTGAAAAGTACCTTTACTTCAAGCACGCGGCCTGTCAGCTTTCTCGTTTTATTTTCCAACACCCATCCCAGCAAACACATAACGTTATTATAACTTTACCATAACGTTTATATTAGCAAAAAACGTTATGGTAACGTTATAAAACGTTCTGCGTTTGACGGGATGTGTATTGAAGTTTACCGCGTCAAGCACAAACGAATATCCAGTTATTGGGTTTTTTTGGTTGACCGTTCTATAGTACTAGTTCTCTAGAATGGTCTGCGAAGTAGTCCATGGCTCCATCCATCACTTGTGATCGGCGCCAAAATTACCTCTAACAATTTGTAGGAGGTTGTGTATGGTAAGTGGGTTTGTTTGTTTGTCGGAGTACGGCATTATACGCAAAAGGTAATGAACGGATTTTGATGAAATTTTCAGGATAGGTACTAATGGCAAAAAAGAAATTATTACATTTTGCTGATAAATCTACTGATGAATTAATTAATTAACTAATAGTTTAATTTTCAGGATCGGTTGCAAATGGGCCAATTTCATGAAATTTTCAGGATAGTTGAAAAATGGACAAAGGAAGAAAGGATTAGATTTTGATGATCCATTAATTAACTAATCTGATCTACATGTACTTTTCAGTTACTTTCAACCTGACAATTCTTCATTCGTTATATCCAAGGTCACCAATTCCCAGTTTATTTCACTGCAAAGTTGTCAGATAGCATATAAGCATCAAATGTGTGTTTTATATCTGCCACAAGCACCCGAAAATTGTTTGCTGGTGACTTCGGCAAAATTTTTTCTCTGATTTTCCCCTGTCTTTCTCAATAACTGAGAGACCCCTACCTCTGTTGGCCTTGCCGTCTGTGAACACCACGGCGATTTTGCTGACACCTGCTTCAAAACGTGCACCGTACTGCGCCTGCGTCAAGTAGTCCCTGCATCTCCTCATGGCGTCCCCGATATTTGTGTTTCCGGCAGAATACGGCAGGGTGGACAGCTTGTTCATTATGCCGGTGACAGACTGGGGTTGGTAGTTGAAATTGAACTGGTCGGTGACCACTTCGTTGAAAGAGACGGTCGATATTTTGACCTAGATAAAAAAAGTGAATATCTGTGAAACTGAAATTGTCAGTCAATAACTAGCTTTAATTGAATTGCATGTCTAAGTTGAAACAGTTAAATGCCATCTGCATGCCTTTAAAAACTCCCCTCAGTCATATATTTTTATCCTGAAAAGCTTTCTATATTTTTCAATGCAGCCCATAAAGCCGACAAAATCATCGAAATAAAATTTTATCTGAAATGTACCAACTATTTCCTATTATTAGATGTACCATTTAGGACACTTCGCAACTTTACTGTACTGTACACGACACAAGACCATTCACCGAGAGGTGACCGATGGTCAGTTCCTCACCTGTTGTTGCGACACCGGCAGATACTGGACGACATTTTTGGCAAAAGCTATCACTGTATTCCAGCCGTTGTTTCCCAGGCTGCCTGAGCTGTCCAACGCAAAGCAAATGTCTGCTTTGCAAGCTGTAACAAACAGAAAGAAAGACGGGTGCAGTTCTCGATATTACAGATATGGAATCGCGTGTAAATCTGATGTTGCCATATTAACAGACTTCCAGGCATGATGGGTAATTTGTGTTTTTGACAAAATCCCAGACACGCTAATGGGCAGGGGATATGATACCTTAGAAAGACAAATGAACGAAAAAAAATAAATAAATTGGATAGATGAAATAAACAGTGTCAACCAGACAGGGCCACTAGAAGACCTGTTCATACTTACTTTGTACGGTGTTTACTTGGGCGGCATTAAAACCAGCAGCTGCCAGTAGCTGTCCTTGTGTGTTCGCACTACCTGCGGCTTCCAGACCGTAGACCGCGGACAGAGCCACTGCCAATACCACCACACGCAACATACTGGAACGTGGGATAGATTGTGTTACTTTAAATTATAATGTTATTATTCCATATTTTAATTGCTTAATCAGGCTGGGCCATCTAATTCAACGTGTGAAAAGTGCAAAAATCCCAGAAAATATACCGCATTTCACATTATTTTTTATTATTATAATTTTTGTGGGCGGTATAGAGTGTTCTGCGTTTGTCTTTCAGTCATATTTTAGTAGACGAGATATTTCAATGAAAGGAAACTTCCTTGACAGGGTGAAAGTTCGTGCTATTCCTTTCAAAATGTCACCCCTGTCAACCCCGTGCCTTTATTTCTCTTCATATTCACCGGCGCATTAAATACCAAACGTTACTAAGCATTCCCCTCTAAATGGCACCTGGCAAGGAGCCTCTTAATGCCCTTTATGTGACAATTTAGAACTGGATCATTGATGAGTTTCAAAAGTTAAATTACCCATAGAACGTGATGCGTGACATGGGCTCTCTCGTATCACTTGAGGTGAATGGTAAAAAGGCTCACACCGCGTGCACCTAAAGCCCTCTGCGCACCTGGAGATTATTTAACTTCAGCTACAATGTTAACCCCGGCTTCTGACAGAGATGTTGACATTTTTCTCATTGTATTTTTGTTAGAGAAACAAACCAGACCCATGGCCGGCAATTACATAGGGGAAGAGTCTTTTTGAAAAAGCGGACCATTTACCAAGAAACCTTTGTGTACCGACCAGTATATCAATTTTTTATTCACGGCGTATGTTTTCCAAACAAAAAGGGCGGTTCGTTCGACCCCCCCCCCCCCCACCCCACTACGAGCCTGCAAATCCTTGTACATACAATTCTAGAGATAAACATTTTGTAATTCTAACAACTTGATCATCACTTGTAGCAGGGGAGACTTGATATTTATCCCCTTACTGCTTATACAGGATAATAGTAACTAACAGTTTTGCAATTGTGTAGAGATGTCTTCGATCAGGAAATGTTCATTGAGATTCAAAACAATTTCACGGATTGGCACTACAAATCAATACGCTTACAAAAAGTTCATTCTAATAAAGATCGAAAACGTAGTCATCTTCGGTAAACCTACGGCAATGTTGATTGCAATAAATTCTGAAGATTTGTACACAGCCAGTTCAATTAATGAAACAATATTTATACCTGTATGTAGCCTTTGTAGTACTCCTAAATGATAAAACATGCCCAAACGACCACCCCTGTCCAGAGCTACGAGTAGGCCAGTTATGCAAATGCTCATCAGGTGTAAGGGCGTGGGAAGCGTTCACGGACCACGTGCGTGGACTCATAGCATAGCCACACACTTTCCAAAAGTATGTTATGTCAATATCCACGTAAGAGATTGTGGATGAATTCTTGAGATTTTATAACACGGCCACTCTTCATTTTAGCTATAAGTGCCAACTTTTCCTGGCTTCTACGTGAGACCGTAATATATGTGCACGTGACTTTTTAACACTTCAAGATACGATTTCGTTCTTTTTTTGAACAACTTAAACATCCGGAATCATATTTGAATAAGTAAGCATAGCACAAACCATTTTTTCTTGCTTTTTACAGAGAAAGTAAATCGTTTCACTGGTTATTGTCGCAAACACATACGAGGTGGAAGAATGTATTTTGTTTGTTCCATAGTGTTTTCAGCCATTACTATAGTGAGCTGTTTCAATTACATAGAAAATACTATCAGTATTTCTAAACGAATCCATTGAATGTTATAGAGAGGTGTCAACCAGAAAATGGTGAAACCAAAGCAAAGGAAACAGTATCATGTTCCGAAATGTTCAGAAAACGGCACACACAAGCATGCGTCATTGCTCAAAAATTACCCCCAAAACTTGATACACTTGTTCATCAAAACTTCATCAAAAGTATTCCCCATCCTATATATTAGTCATATAAAGAATGAAAATCACATTTCATCCTGATCGCCCTCGTGGTGCAGATACTTGCAGTAAGAGCTCCGACATTCCTTTTTTTATGTTTTTACTTGATAGAAATAGGGATCAAAATGAATCAAACCTTTTACATATACTTATATAATGTACATGCTAGACGGTTTATTTCCGAATGACTCTATGCTAAAAGTCTATGCTAAAGGGGAACACGGCAGTGGTTCGTGCTCTTTATCTACAACAATGAAGTAATTTGATGACATATTATTTTAAAAAATTAAAATGTACAATAAGATAAATAAAAATGACCGTCATGCAAGGATCTTTTATCAAAATTCAAGTTAACCTGAGTCAGAGACTAGGATTCTCTTGTTTCCAATACTTCTCTTCTTCCTCAGTGTCTATATGTATAAAAGGCTCACTTACTTTTTTTGTAATGGTTCCTCTCTGCAAAGCACCTCTTCAAACTACACAAGTGCGCCTCTTTCCACCAACCCGTTACCTATATACGCATATACAGGAAACGCAGCGGTAATACCAGCAACCTGCTAATCTTAAAGACTTGCAAATTTTTCCATTGACTATGGGGCTAAGTTTAATTGGTAGTTAATATGGCCATCGCAACGGTTCAGCATTTTTCAAAGCGTAAAAAGGCTCCATTAAAAGTTTTATTCGCATACTTCGTTACAGTTGGGTGGCTCGTTGGTAGGTGTCCGAATTCAATATTTACCAAAAAATGCCACATCTGCATTATGCCACGAAAAGTATGGAATTATGACATAAAGGCAGATTATTTGGTGTGATTGTTACAATTTCGTGATGAGGGCGTCCCCAAACGATGTAATAAAATATGATAATCACAACATTGGATTTCAACTGCTACACATAAAGTGCAGGCCGAAATAAAAACCGGTTTAACATTCAAAAACGTCAGACGACCCAGCAATGAGGCTGTCTGTAGGGGTCATCCTCAAGAATGAGGAACAGTATTAGGACCTTGGTCATCTCGCTGATAAACACATTTGTAACACAATACTGTTGGTGCTGTTTTAACACAAAGACTGGTATTATTCTTCATAATAGGTATATGTACTATTCGCGTTTGGGAATGTCCCAAGGTCTCATTTTTTATGTCTACATATAATGCAAATTCTATTCATCCTTTGCAATTCAGTCCACAAAAAGATTAAACCTCTTCAATAAAAGTACCTAATGTCGATATTTTCTACTGACATGTTCAGGAAGCTATGGCGGTCCACGTGACTGAATTCTTTTTGAAATTTAAAATGGAATAAAACACCGTATCTAAGTGCAGGGTCGGGCCCAGAAATAATTTGTGAGTGAGAAAAAAATCAACTGCCAATTTCATCCCGGACAGGATACCTTTAAAGGCTATATGGCTGGTACAATTCTAATAAGAATATTGACTGGGCGCTTTGGGCCACTGCCCTTTTATTCCATGCCAAATTACGGAGTATATTTCTTACTACTTCGTCGTTTTTTTGTTGTTTTTTTACAAGAGACTAAGGATTCCCCTCCCCATTTTTGTAAGTAAGGACTGTCACATTCCCGCGATCACCCGGGAAAATGAAATAGTTGCTCCATCGTGCTTGTTTGTATATTTCCAGTATCAGCGTACACCTTGTGGCTTTTCTGGCTTCTGTTAATTAAGACTCATAAATCTCTCCGACCCACCTTCGCTTCTACACCTTCACCCAGCTGTAGAGATTTAATGAATGAGGAGCAGCAATAAGGAAACAATTAAATGAAATAATTGCCGTTTTAATCGGCACAAACACGTCTTTAAACAGTAAATAAAACGTGCCCCATTGTCCTTAACCCCATGCCTGTTTCTTCGACAGTAACCACGTATTTTTATTGACTTGAAATCCTTAAAATTATAATTGTATTGGTTTTACAATTCATTATAATTACGTAAAATAAGCATTTTTATAAATTAAACCCGAAAATAATATAAAGGAAAACAAGAAGTAGATTAAAAAATTTGTAAGATTCCCACCATACTAGTATATGTAGATACACAACGGTCCGCATTCAAGGAACTAGTCAATGAAACTGCCTTAAACACACAAAATTGCACGGTATACCGGGGAGGAACAGCTTTTTGTTCACATCGTTGATAGTCCTGGGCGTAATGTGAATATTGAAAGGGTTAAACATCTGTTTTGTTCCCTGCCGAGTAGGTAGAATTTTGGGGAGGAAACAAAGAAATGGGCTACATCAAGTATCACCACGTGAAAATGATTTTCGAAAGTAGAGTAAAAGTTTTCAACTTTCTGCTACTTTTACTATATCATTCTTTATTATTTCATCTATTTATTGGTTCACTTTATTATTCATTCATTTATTACTTTATTTCTCATTCAATTTATCAATAAAAGACATTTTATAATTTATATTCCAATTTTGTTATCATTACACTGTTCTAAAACAAAATTCCATGATGCCAATACAACAGAAAAAGAAACCACATCAAATTACCGGGGTTGCTCCTTCGTGCGGTTGTATTTACTCTCCAGGAAGTGTTTTCGACATTTTTCTTTAATTAGACATTAATACCAAGCGTTCAGTCCGTTGTCGTCATTCCCCCATTCATTCCACCGTCATGTCACACCCGAAGCGTGAAGAATCCCTGATCTTGTTGACATGCATGGCTATTAAAACGGGTGCTAAGGAATTTCTTTATTGGCAATTGCTGAACCCTTTACGCGATAAATGCCGTTGATAGCTTTAACACTTTTAAAAGGAAAATAGTGCATTGATGTCATTGGTGTGTGTGTGTGTGTGTGTGTGTGTGTATTTGAAGGTGAACAGCTCTTTTCGTTTGACATAATGAACTAGGTGTACTATGTCACAGGCTGAAAATGTACTTCTGACCGTGAGCTTGCGGCCAACCTGGACGTAAGGTATAGGGCTACATCAGACTGACGTGAGTCATTACTCAGTTTGGTGGCAAACTAACGGTAGGAAGAATGTTTAAAAAAACTTGTGCAAAATAATTATCATTTGTGTTCCAACTACCAAGCTAATGAACATTTTTGCTCATGGATGTTATCTGGCTGGGTCACTGAATGTGACTGCAGGCACAGTGTAAATCGGTCTTTGGGGATAAAAACAATCTAGCAAAGTTATGTCAATAAAATCGGGTGACAGTGTATCCTCAACCCTGTCAACAGCACAGACATCCTAAAGTGACTTTTAACCCCGTAAAGATGGCGCAAAATGTGCTTTAAGGTCACGGCTAGTGGTGCGTCTTCCCCACGGTTACCTGATCCCGACCACATGACAGACAACCGACCACTCGTTTAAAACCCGTCCAATTTATACCACAGTCACAGAAAAGGAACCTTTAAAACGCCTTTGTCCTCTCAGTAGAGTTATTAGTTTATTCACCTTGTTCGTGACAAGGAAACCATTAGTCTGTTAACATGGATTCAATACTGCTTTCTACTTGAATAATTTTGCGACAGGAAAATCTGTCTGCCATATTTAAAAAATAATAAAAATCAAGATAAAAGGGACATATACATTGAAACGTGCACATTGTCTCGAAATGACGATAAACCTGTGAACCGAAAATGGATTACAGCCAGATTTACACAAAGCAGAACGCGAATATTAAATTGGACGTTAAAACATACCAATGCAGTTATTTCATAATGAAGCAGTTTCCATACACTAAATACTTTAAAAATGCAAATTAATCCCCATTTTCATGAAAATGTCAATGTTATTGCTGTTTCCTGTATTTTTAATTCGACCATGGCACGTCGATGGGAATTTTAACTTACTTTTGTGAAACTAGGCGTTTCCGGAATCAAATATTTAGAGCATGATTATGTCACCGCTACTTGTATGTTCGCCTGCTAAAGATCATTTTTATTCAATTCAAATGTATCTGACATTATAAGATGGTTTCTATGAAATAAGAGTAGGCCCTAAATTAAGAGCAATGGGTTTTTCATTCATGGAAATATTTGAAAAATCACAGAAAAATATGCGTAGTTCAAAGAGAGAAGAAGACATAGCTGGGACATTTTTATCTGAATGTTTTTT